TTGTCTTCCAAATTTCTTGGCAGAGATGAGTGAGTGCCTCTTGTGCCACCTCACTTTCTTGAAAGATTTCAATTTTTATTCCATCAAAATGTAAAGGTGTATAAATTATTCTTTATCCTTCTTAGCTCTGCTGTAATAATTACGCCTTTCTGGAGCTCAGTCATTTCATCCATATCATAAAGTTATTGGTCGTATTCAATGATGTGAATCCAAGGATGCTAGGTTTTTAGAATTTATGGAAATAGCTCAAAATCCAAAGGTTCTCTAAAGAAACAGATTGATAACTAATCTTATTACTGCTTGCACCCAGGCATGTATAAAAATTTGCTTCCAATTCCTTTTTATTATATATAATCTAATTCAAGATAATAGAGAAACTAACAATATGAAGAACATAATCAACATCATGTATTGTTGTGTGCCATTGAGTTGGCTCCAATGCAGAACAACCCTGTATAAGGTTTCCACGGAGCTGCTGCTGACCTTGCAGTTAGCAATTCAGTGCTTATCCTACAGCACTACATCAGGACTCCAATTATACACGTAGAGATTGCTGAATTGGTGAATGTCTTCTTGTTTATATTTTCAGCCCCCACACACAAATTAAATAAATAAAGCCACTAAAATCAAACAGATGAAAGTAGATATCACGAAATTCACGATCTCATACCTCTTTAGAGACAGGAATGAAAACAGAAAGTAGGACTTGTTCTGGTTTAAGGTTTGCATCTGTCATTCCAGCAAGAAAATGATCATTAAAAGGAATTTGCTGTGTTCCTTCTGTAAGGAAAAAATACAATTTTTAAGAACAATTGAAGTGACTTTATATGTTGTAACAACTAGCTGTTTCTGTTGTTAAGTGCTGTCAAGTCGGTTCCGACCCATAGCGACCCTGTATCAGATTTCCAAGGAGCAGCTGGTAGGTTTGAACTGCTGACCTTGCAGTCCAGCGCATTAGTGCACAGCGCCACACCAGGACTCCATAAAACATACTATATGTGATGTTCCTTTAGAATGCATTTTCATAATAGAACACTACGGATTTTTATCTGCTTTATCCAGTAGTGTTGCATTATGAAAATGCATTCTAAGTGAAAGTGAAAGTCACACATAATAAAATGGGCTGGTCATATCCAGAAAACAAGAAACGGAAATGACATTTTGGGATCCTGCCTTGGAAAACCAGTCTTCGGAGCGTGCTAACAAAGAAGCGCTCGTCCAGCTTACAGAAGACAATGCACCAAGGCTACAATGGGGAATTTCTAGGGCAGAATGATCTGAATTCGGGACTAAATGCGATGACAGTGGCAGACAGTGGGCGTGAGTGGACGGGAGTGTGTGGGTGAGTTTGAAGAGCTTAAATGTCTGGAATGAGGCAATGGCAAACATGAGCATGCTCCACATGAGAACACAATGACACTCACAAATGAAAAATACAAATGACAACAGTAACTGTAATACATGGAAGACAGCTGTAAAATCACGTGGTTCTTTTGAACAAAAATGCTGAAACATAGACAAATGATGATCCCTTTGAAGTGGTCACTGGGAGAGAGCAAACATTTACGTCAACAGTACCATCCTCCTCAAGACATTTTGGCAACTCTGCGGGGATGTTCTTTCAGAGCCTGTGGCCTCAAAGATGATAAATCTTTATATCCTTTGAAGGTAGGTGTGATTTATGGTATGAGGTAAAAGACATTCAGATGCCAGCTTGAAGGATAAGGTAGTGGATCAGATTGAATAAGACTTTTTTTGGTCAAAAGTCAAGTGAAAAAGAGACTGATTTTTATTCTACAGTTTGTAAGCCAGGAAGTGTTCTGTTTGTCTTCAATTTTAACACATAAGGGCCATTTCCCCAGCCCAGTCCTACTAGGACTTTCCTTTCAAGCAAATTCATTTGACAAGGTCAGTATGAAATACTCAATAAGCTCATGATACTATGAAAGATATCTACTAAGCCTCATGAATTCTCTAAGAGATTCCATTATGGATTATAAATTTTCTCACAAAGCATACTAAAGTATGCACTTAAAGGAGTCTCTGTGTATTGTAAGTTGTTATTGTGCTTGGCTACTAACAGAAAGGTTGGTAATTCACCCAGAAAACACCATGGAAGAAGGATTTGACGGTCTTCCAGAAAATCAGCCATTGGAAACTCTGTGGAGCACAGTTCTCCTGTGACAACCTAGGGTTTCCATGAGGCAGAATTGACTCGAATGTAACTGGTGTTGGCACTGGTGTTGTTGTTGTTATGTGCTATAAAGTAAGTTCTGATGTAACCCTGTAGAGAGTTTTCAAGAAGTGGCTGCTGGGTTTGAACTGCCAATCTATGGTCAGTAGTCCAGTGCTTATCATACAGCACCACACCAGGACTTTGCAGGCACTAGTGGTGGTGGTTGTGTGCTGACAAGTCGGTTCCGACTCATAGGGTTTCCAGAGCTGTAAATCTTTAGGGGAGCAGAAGGCCTCTTGTTTCTCCAGCAGATTGACTGGAAGATTTGAATTGCTGACTTTGTGGTTAGCAGCCAGCTTATAATCCACCACGCTACCAGGGGTCCTTCTGGTACTAGTATGCACCTAAATATCGTAAATGCTCTCTTCAGGTTCTAAATCTATAAATTCAGGACAAAAGTAATTTAAAAAGTTATTAAAATATATTCTGCCTCTAAAATAAACTTCACTACATTATAGTCATTACATTATAGCCTTGATATCTAACACTACTCATAAACTTATTTTAATTAAAAGTATTTCCTCTACTGATAATGAATCGATAAGAAGTAAGACTAGTTGATGTGCTTGGTTACCTGTCCACCTGGTATGTGAATGTATAGCTACCACTGTATCCAAGGACGTAGATGCCCATGTTATCCCCCAATTCTGTGTTTACTGTTTATAAAACCGACATCAGTATTTTCAAGGAAATTGAGTAACTCACCTATTGAGGCAACATTGAGAACACAATTGCCTACACCCAAAATGGGGTTGAGATCAGAAGTTGAAAGTCGGCTAATAATATGGCCTCCTAAGGACTAAAGAAAGAGAAATCAACAACTTCAGGACTTTTATGAATGTAGAATTCATTCTGAAATGAGGAGAGCTGAATTATACCGAGAATGGTATTTTTTTACAATCTACCTAGGCAATGCGAATTTTTAAAATGGGGGCATGGATGTGAGTTTTTGGCCAAATTCTATAATGTTTTAAAGGAATCTCTAATCCCTTCATTTATTTATAAAACAGAAACTGTGAAGCTCAACAGTGAAAATTACTTTTATGCTATCACTTCTAATTTCGGATTTAGAAGGGTCTCAAATTATACTGTATTAATGCAGAATTCATTCTGAAATGATATACATGTAATTTGCATAATAGACAAGAAATAGTTAAAGGGTATAACTATTTATAAGGGGTGAGGTCGGAGTTGAGGATCGAGGGCATTTGATAGAGAGGATCAGGCAGTATCCCTAAAACAATGGCATCTGCAGGATGGGAGATGTTGATACCTTCCCAACCCGGAGCTAGAAAAACCTTCCCCTGACTGCACAGAGCTGGCAGGTAAAGCATGAGTCTGATGTGATGGGGACCAAGGCGAGATGGTCTGTGGCCAGCACACAGTAACAACCCTGGGTCTGGGGAAACTGTTTCCTGCAAAAGGTAATTGATGAAGATTCTGTAATTGAAAAATTGACTTTGAGGAATGAATTGCCTGTGAGCACCCTCATGGATTAAATGTTCTCATTATAAAGAAGCAACCATTGCATATGGGCATGCCAGGGTCTACATGAGGTCAGTGAAACATGAAGTCACATTAACCAAAGAGAAGGATTTAGATGGACTGATTGGAATTAACTGATGGCAGTGGGTGTGGTTTTGATTTTGAATAGAGAAAATCCACAATTCTGTCAGAGTGGGATCAAGGACCACTTTGCTGTAAGTTAGCGACGTTGTTGATAGTGGTGGTGTGAGCCAGAGTCAGTTCCAACTCATAACGACCTGGATAGGCTTTCTGAGAGTGGCTGGTGGGTGTGAACGGCATATCTTGTTTTTACCAGTCCAGTGTTTACAGTTATTTACATGTATGTTTTCTAACTATATGCAATATAGTAGAGTTGTTATGCTATATAATTACACTAATGGGTTGTGTCTATTGTGTGGCGCTCCCTTGTGTTTATTACTGGGTGAGTTATTGTCCCATTAACTCATTAGTTATCTTTACAAGGTAACAAGTTTAAGAACCCATTTGAGTACTACTGAAGATAGAACTTTCTGAACTGGATACGTTCAGAAATTACAATACAAATCCTGGGGTCTATGGTGGGCAGACCAGGAGGGCAGCATCTCCCTAACTCACTAACATGGTTTATTCCTCAAGGACCCGAAATGAGGAAGTCCATCCAACTCAAGCCCCTGAAAATGCAGATGGATCAACTAAGAAACAGCAGAGACATTGAATGACACAGCCTTCCTCACTGAGCCCCACACTCAGAGGGTCGGCATGGAGAACCTACTGCCATATTTCTTATCTGTTGTCCAGCCAGGCTTCTCAGATGTTTCAAGAGAGCCCGGTATGTCTGCGTCTTCTCCTCTGGGAGCTTCCGGACCACATCAGTGAGGATGTCCTTCACCTGGGCCAGGCTGAGGCCAGCACCTATTGTAAGTCCTGAAAGCAAGACATCTTTGTTCATATTCTGTAAATTAGACCATAGAGAAGTCAATGGGAAAAGCCCATCCACTGCTGTGGAGTCGATTCTGACTCACAGCAACTTTATATGAGTCTTTTCTGACTCATTGTGATCCTGTATAGGGTTTCCAAAGGGTGACTGGTGGATCTGAACTGTTGACCTTAAGGTTAGCCGTCCAGTGTTTATCCTACAACACCACAGCTTGATTCTTAAATAAAGTTGTTGTTGTTAAATACCATGGAGTAAGTTCTGACTCATAGTGGCCCTGTACAGAGTTTCCAAGGGGCAGCCTGGTGGGCTTGAACTGCCATTCTTGTGGTTAGTAGTCCAGTGCTTATCCTACAATGCCACACCAGGATATAGTAGAATAGAAAGTAATCTTCCTCTTTCTCAAATATTCCCTTTTTCTGATGATCAAAGTCATACATATTAATGGTAAGACACTTTACAAATCCAAAGTAGAGAAAATCATTTTTAAAATAGCTCAAAACATGATTAAAAAAAAAAAAAAAAAGAATTAGCATTAGAAAACACAGCTCCAAAGATTAGATAGGAAACTTAGGGGCAGTGAGTTCACGTTACTGGGGGAGGAACAACTCAGAAGAGGCGGGTGAAAATGCTTCCCTGGAAGAATTCCACCAACATTACTGAATTGTATCTGTAGAGAGTGGTTTTGATGTTTGTTTCTGCTGCATGCATCTGCCACAATAATAGAAGAACCATCCATTACTGGATGCTCTGTCACCCACCTTGTCTCACTCTCTGCCCTGGGAACAGGGGCTGCTTTCCGTCTCCAGCGCTGTCTATGTGCTATTTCAGCTCTGGACCTGGTTCCCCCCACGCATCCTACTCTAATTCCAACAAAGCCTTCCATAACTTCCTATGGTCTACTCTTCTAACATCATGGACCTGTCCTTGCTAGCACACAGTTGCAGTTTTACCTTTTATTTGTGTAGTTATTTGTTGGACATCTGTCTTCACCATCAGATGATAAGCTTCATGAGGAAGGATCCGTGCCTTTTTTAAAAAAAGATTATATCCCCAGTCTGTTTCCTTGTTTAGCTTGACTAAGTTCTGCCCCTGCATTCACACCCCATGTTAAAACATTCAGCTTGAATGCCATCCTTCTTTTACCATGTCTTCATTTATTCTCTCATTCCTATCATTTCCCGCTAAATGAGTAGCCAATAAAGGAGTCTTGGTAACACAGTGGTTAAAATGCTCGGCTACTAATTAAAAGGTGGTGGTAGTGGTTCAAACCCATCATTCACTCTTTGGGAGAAAGAAGTGGCAGTCTGCTTCCATTAAGACTGTTGTTGTTAGTAAGTGCCATGGGGTCTGTTCCAATTTCTAGCGACCTGTATAGGATTTGATGAGCGGCTAGTGAATTTGAACAGCTGATTTTGTGGTTCAAACCAACACTGTGGTCCAGTGCTTATCCTACAGCACCATCCAGCCTTGGGAACTCTGGAGGGCAATCTACTCTGAATTGGAATTAACTCAATGACAACAAGGTTGGCTTGGTTTGGTTATCTAGTTTTCACCGGTTGGTTTGGTTTGATTATCGAGTTTTCATGATTGACACTGAACGATTTTCTAATAAATTCACCAGCAGCTGCAGTGACATTACAGTAAACGCTGAGCCCCTACTGTGTGCCAGGTCTGATTCTAGGCTTGAGAGGACGGTTAGTAGGGGAGATCAATCACAACCGGATAAATGAATACAGAAGCAATGTTATCTCAGGTGTGACAAGTGTTATGAAAAACTCTGTTGAGCACCTAGTGGTAATTAGATCCTAGTGTTACAAAGCATTGCTCTGTCCAGAGTCAGTGCGTAGGGAATCTGGTTAGGAAATTGAGAGTGTTGTGCTACTTTTCTTATCTCACACCATAGTCACAAGTTCTTTAAAAACATACTTTTAAATAATCCATAATTGCTGATATTTCTAAGAACTTCATGGCATAGTAGGCAACGCAAAAATGTTTTCCATTATTTTATCACATCAACCTGCATTCATTCACTCAGCAGAGGGAGCTCATGCTCTAATTTTGGAAAGTTGAACAGAATGCGAAGCTCTCATAAAAAAAAAAGTTTTGTGACTCTCATTGAAGTTTCTTTCCAGTACTTCTAGGAGTGGAGACTGATTGAGGACAGTTTGATTCTTATCTATGTAAACAGATGAATTCATCTTGGAACAGACCTTTCTTCACTAAGGTTGTGTTATGTTTACCAAGTAAGCTAACTTGCTGTTGCTGTTGTTAAGTACTATCGAGTCAGTTCCAACTCATTTGTTGTTAGATGCCATCGA